GATGGCAGCATCAGGAAGCTCCTCTCCTCCTCCTCCTTGAGTGTAGTTGACACACAATATTGCATTAGTTGCAGGTGTACAACATCGAGATTGGACAGGTTTATACATTATGCTCTGCTCACCACAAGTGTAGCTGCCATCTGTCATATACAACACTGTTACAGTAGCTTCGACTGTATTCCCTGTGCTGTGCTTTTTATTCCTGGGATTTATTCATTCCATAACTGGAAGCTTGTACCTTCCACTCCCCTCCACCCATTTTGCCCATCCCTCCCTACTACTCCCCTCTGATAACCATCAGTTTGTTTTCTGTATTTATAGGTCTTATTCTGCTTTTTGTTTGTTTGTTTCTTTCTTTCTTTCTTTTTTCTTTTTTTTTTAGATTCCATATATGAGAGAAATCATGATATTTGTCTTTCTTTGCCTGACTTATTTCACTTAGTGTAATACCCTCTAGGTCCATTTCTCTAAGTGCAGATTTTTTTTAAAAAAAGATTTTATTTATTTATTTGAGAGAGTGAGCCAGAGAGAGAGCACAAGTGGGGGGGTGGGGCAGAGGGAGAAACAGACTCCCCACTAAGTAGGAAGCCCAATGTGGAGCTCGATCCCGGGATCCTGGGATCATGAACTGAGCCAAAGGCAGCCACTTAACCGACTGAGCCACCCAGGTGCCCCTCCAAGTGCAGATTTGTTGATGGCATTACTATTGCCTAACAACGTCTTTATTTCACTTTATTCCTGAAGAAATAGAATTCCTCTGGATATAGAATTCTATGCTGGCAGTCGTCTGTTTCCAGCATATTGAAGATATCATCCTACTAATTTCTAGTTTCCGTTGTTCTGACTGAGAATTCAGCTGCCAGTCAAACACTCTTTTGCAGGTATTATGTTTTTTGTCTTCTGATTACTTTTAACATTTTTTCACTTTCTTGGACTCTCTGAAATTTCACTGTAATGCTGGATTTGAAATTTTTTCTTGCTTAGGATTTTTTTCAGGCTTCTTGAATCTCTGAGCTGATGACTTCCATTGGTACTGAAAAGTTCTCAGCCCTAAAATTCACACAATGGAATATGACATAGAAAAAACGTGAGGCTTTATACAAAAACATGAATAATTCCTAGGATGAAAACTGTTTGACTCCATTTATACCAGTCTTCAAAAACAAGCAAAAACATAGTGTGGTGGGGCGCCTGGGTGGCTCAGTAGGTTAAGTGTCTGCCTTTGGCTCAGGTCATGATCCCAGGGTCCTGGGATGGAGCCCCGCGTCGGGCTCCCTGCTCTTCGGGGAGTCTGCTCCTCCCTCTCCCTCTGTCCCCCTGCTCATGCTCTCTCTCTCACTCTCTCTCTCTATCAAATAAATAAATAAAATCTTTAAAAATATATAGTGTGGTAAAACTATAAAACCAAACAATGGTTAAATTAAGTTCCATAAGAGAAAGGATGTTTCCCACTAGAGGAAATAGGAGAATGTAGTTAGGGAAGGAGCAGTTGGTGTGGGGAATTTTCTGTGGTTTTGGCAATCTTAAATTTCATGACCTGGTTCATTGTCAATGATTTAAGAAATGCACTTATGTTTTCTACTCTTTTTTGCATGTGTATTATTTTTCATCAGTATAAAATATAAAGACTCCACTCTATACACACACTCTCTCTCTCTCACATACACACACACACATACACACCCACACACAGGAAATAGCGGGAAATCTGCTTTGGTCAACTGGTCAGGGACAGTCTCTGAACACAGAGAGATTATTTTTGTAATCTGAAGGGATTCATTTAAATAGTATGTTGAAAATCGAGCAATATAGAGAGCTATGTGCCACTATGGGAGTGCCTGAGGTTTTGCAAAGAGATCTCTGAGCATGGCCTTTGTGTTCTGGCGACTTTCCCATGGAAAGCACAAGAGGATTCCCTAATTTCTGCTCAGCTGAGGTCACCCCTCGAGTGAGTTCTCCTGGTGAGAGCTAGGTTTGTTGATAACAGTGTATTGAAAGTAGAGGAGATTTTTTTGAGCTGTAAGCCATAAGAGGAACAATGGGTAGATGATTAATTACTTCTGCACTTTTGAATCCTAGGCTTAGCTCCCTAGTCATGTCAATGTCCACGCTCTCTTCTCTGGCCCTCAGAATCATAGGAGGGAACCATCTAGGGAACTGTGGACATATTGAACAATTCTGAGAGTCCCAGGAAATCCCTTGGGATTGTGAGTCTCATGATAGAAAAGAATACACACCTAAAGACTCCCCAGATACACTTCTTTTATGTTCTTTCTTGGACCTGTTCATATTGTCTGAAAAGTACCTGTTCTCACATCCTTCCATAGGGTAGAACTCCTCTGATTTCATCTCGTCTCAGTTACTCAAGGCTGTGCTGGTCACTGGCCTGAGGGAAAAGAGACAGGCTGTTCTGATCGGACCATTTTCCCAAACCCTGATTTAGAAGAAACTGTTCTGTCCCTCCTAGATCACTGGAACAAGTCCCGTGGGTGCTGGGAAGAGCCCAGGAGCCTAAGGCCATTGGTGCTGCACCGAACAATAATTGGAGTTTGAGACTCCTCATACGTGGGATCTGCCTCAGCGGAGGTCTCCTTCCTCAGATCCCGATGGTATTCACCTCCAGCCCCATGAACCTATTCAAAAAGGTCATTATGTGAAAATATATTAATTACCAATTATTTTCTGGATATTTTGCTGTATTCCCCGTGCAGAGTAGATCTGTTTCTTTTAAAAGTAATGATAACTTGGGGGGCTTGGTGGCTCAGTCGGTTAAGCTTCCGACTCTTGATTTCTGCCCAGGTCGTGATCTCAGGGTCCTGGGATGGAGCCCTGCATCGGGCTCCGTGCTCAGTGGGGAGTCTGCTTGAGGATTTTCTCTCTCCCTCGGCCTCCGCCCCTCCCCCTGCTATGTACGCACATGCTCTCTCTGTCTCTAAATAAATAAATCTTAAAAAAATAAAAATAATGATACCTTAGAATTGGAAAGTGAATTTCCATTCAAAAAAACATTTTGTTTTTACTGTCTTACATGGCAACATTGGAGATGCAAACCAAAAATGCTAGTACATAATCAAAACAGCTTCTAATCATACACACAAAGATGCAGTTGGGCACCTACCTAGTCACTCTCAGAGTTGAGTAGTTGGGACAATCTTCTGGACTGACAAGTGGACCCCCAGAACTTTGTGGTGGTGAGAAGAGAAAGCATCATGAGCAAAGGATTGTGACTGACTTATGTAAATTTCAGGGCAATCAGCAAAAGGGATTCATTCCTGAATACTGTGAAGTCATAGGTCTGAAATATATGACATAAAATGAATTATGTGGGCTGCCTTAGGAGGATAAGAAGAGAGTTGGGGGCACTGAAAAATGAAAGAGGGGGCCCAGTAGGAAAATCAGGTATTATGGGTTACTCAGGCTGGAAGTATGAATTTGAGGAGACTTTCGGAGAAAAGAAGTCAATAAAATAGGGTTCAACTATAAGCTAGGAATCCAGGTGGATCACTAAGGCTGAGAGAGGAAAATTCTGCTTTAGGAAAAGTGGTATCATCGTAGCACAAGAGTGTCATCAGGGGAAGAGACAGTTTCTGATGAGGCGGAGGAAGAGAGCATTTCCTCCTTTCTCGTGGGCTACCATTAGCCAAACAATGAAAGATGGAATTCCTAGGAGGTAAAGAAGGGACAGCTCAGAAGGTTAGAGAAAGGAATGTAAAGATGGAAGAGAAGATGCTAAATTCCAGGGCAATGGGAGGAGGGAAAGGGAGAGATCTGTTTGTAAATATGCAGAACACAAAAATCAGTGATGTCGTGTGTGTGTGTGTGTGTGTGTGTGTGTAGGGAACACATAAATACTCAATGGTCTCACTTCAAAACTCGACCAGGGTCCTAGGTGCCCTGGGTAAGCAGTTAACTAGTTATAACCTCCGATATACCACGGAGGAAACCCCCCCACACGTCACTCTTGTCCCCCACGTCTTCAGCCAACATCTGGCTTAGACCAAGATCCCACTTTGCTTCTCTAGCCCTAAATGGTGCCCCATTGTAATCTGCTTCCTTCCGGTTGCTGTTTCTCTCCCTCTATTGCTTTGCAAAGGCACAGTCCTTTCCTTCAGTTCCTTGCGATGACAACAGAGACAAGTCTCCCACCTGTTAAAGGTATAGGAATAACTGAAGGAAACGACCAGAAAACTTAGAACGAGACTCTAGGTGCGGCTGTTCCTAGAATCCACCAGCTCAATCCCTTCCATGGGAATTGTACCTCCAGTCACCTCTCTGACTGAATACCTAGCGCTTCTCAGAGTTGAGGTAACCCCTGCCCCTAATACCTGGCCTGACACCAAGTGGGAAGGACCAGCTACCTTCACTCCAGGAGGAATCTCAGACCTCTGTCTCCTAACAAAATCTGTCTCAACCTCTGCGAAACTCCCAAGAATGGGAAGTAGCTTCCTCCTCAGCTCTCAGTGTCAGGGTCTGCTTTGTCCCAGGGTGCCTGAGTGTGAAACTGGCCCCTCCTGAGAATCCTCGGTCAGTGTCCCTGAGTCTAACCTTCCACCTCTCTCCTCCACTCCCCACAGGTATGCCTTTTTAAGGGTCTATGCTCGGCACCCTTTCTGTGTTGCCATGCTTCGTGCTCATGGACTCAGCTCTAATGAGCACCTTGGCATAGATGACTCTGAGTCCTACCCACCTAGCTCTGACTTAGCCTCGTTTTCTCCCACAGTGTGGTTTCATGAAAAAAAAAAAAAACACAGAACATGGCACCCTGGGTGGTCAGATTGGAATAAATCAGGTCCAGGACTTACCTCATGGGTCCCTTTTCTCCCCAGTTCTCCAAAAAGAGAAACTACAGAGTCACTGGTTTCCCTAGGAGCTGAGTACGCCTTTCCAGCATTCCTGCAGTGTCCCCACCCCTAACCCTTCCTGGGGAAGCCCAGCCTGGCAGAGGTATAAATAGGCACCTGGCAGCTTCCTGCCCTAACCTGCTCGTTTTTCTTTTCAAAATGGACAAGCCCCTGCTTTTGGGACTCCCCCTCCTGCTCAGCTGCCTTAGAAGTGAGTCCCTAGGGTTGACGTTGGTGAGGTGTGTCCAGGATAGGGGAATGGGTCAGAGCTCCCTTGACGGAGGGGCTCTTATGGGAGCCTCATGAACGTTCTATACCATGCCTTTCACCTCCAATGCATCACATCCCTTCACCAGAGGCTTAGTCTCCCCCTTAGAGGAGGAAATAGGTGGATTATAAAGGAATTGAGATTTTCATAGAAGTTGCGAGTTGGGGTTTGTAAAATGAGGTCTGCTGAGCACGTATCTCTTTCCCCAACAGTACTGTCTGGGTCACTGTATGACGGCGAACACACAAGTGAGTAGAAATAGATCATGGTGTGGGAGGGGAAGACGGGAGGAGGGAGGAGATGAGCCAGGCAGAGCGGGCATTGGGTGTTGAAAGGAAGCCAGAGATAGACCTTGCGTTTATCTTTCTCCTGTGGTCTGTGCTGTAGGGGCGGGTAGGGTATCCGTGAGGCCCCACGGAGGTGAAGGGAACTGAAAGGAAGGAGGAGGTGCAGAGATGCCAGGAGGCAGGTGCCAAGGCTTTGGAGGGACAGAAAGAGCCTAGCGTGGCCCCAGGTGAACCGCACAGGAGGGAGCCCGTGTGCGGCAAGCCTGACAGGGGCCCCGTGCGGGGCTAAATCTCGGACGAAATTGCAGATTTCGTTTTGTTTTTTCTTGGCAGCACAGTGCATGAGCTATTTGTTGCTGATAACCACTACTACAGTGAGTATGAAGAGGACCTGATTATCTCCGTCTTAAGTTCATTCTTTTCCTTGCCCCGCCCCCTTTCTTTCCCCTCCCATTTTTCCCAGCCCAATCTCTCGAGACCATAAACGCCCGTCCCTCTCCTGGCTTAGCCTCTCTTCATAGAGGCAGATGCCCACACTCCACGGGCCTCTGGGTAAGCCTTCCCAGGACTCCAAGCCGACTTCCCATCTCAAAGGGGAGGCGGGTTTTCTCGTGGCAGCGGGAGGTCGCTTCTCATTTCCATTCCTGGTTTCCCGGCCCCAATGACAGAAATCATTCAGTGTAGGATGTGCCACTTGCAGTTTCCAGGAGAGAGGTGTTCCAGAGGCAGAGGAATATGCTCTGCTACAGAAGATGAGAGTTGCACGACTGGGAGGATTTTCAAGAGTAAGTTGGGGGACGGGGGTGGGGGAAGCTGACCAGACATAGGAGCCCTAGGAAACAGCAGGGACCTTATTTTGCCCCAGGCAGCCCCAGCCCCGGGATGCCTGATCTCTCCCTACCCCCATCACAGACCATCATGAAAAATAGGTGGAGGTGGTCACGGAGGGGTGGGGATCTATAGCTATGGTACCCGTATTTTGAGAAGCCTGCAGAAAGCAGGGAGACTGGGTGAAGAGGAAGAGGGGAGGCACAATATGGCCAGTGGAGAGCAGGTGCTTGTTGGAGTGGGGAGAGCAGCTCCTTGTCTGTCCATGCCTGGACCTTCATGGGGGTGGTTTTAAACTGTGGAGATAGAGGGGCCAATGTGAGCAATAGACTCGGGTTAAATGGCCCTCTCGGTTGTTCTTCGGTTCGTGCTAAGCGAACACTTGGCATTTATAACCCTGAGTTAAACCAGTGTTAAGATTCTCCACTGAAAACGTTCAGCTTTGGAAATCCCTCCGTTGCTGCTGTCATCACCTCCCAACCCCCAAGAACTTTTGCAAACTGTTCTGCCACTGCTTTCCTTCCCGGAAGCCCTCAACTTGCAACATCTTGCAGTTCTGCGTGTTTGAATAACAGAGACTTGAACTACACACAAGATTGTTCTTGTCGGCTGGTAGGGGCTGGTAAGAAGTTTCTTTGCGGAAGCCTATTTGCTAATCTGTTTCTCCTTCCTCCTGCAGAAGATGGGACTCTGTGGTTAACCTTCATGGGCTGCCTGAAAAACTGTGCTAATGTGGACAAAATAAAATGGAGTGTCTACTTGGTGAACTTCAGGTGCTGCAGGGGCTATGACCTATGCAATGAAACCCTGTAGATGTTGCTTGTCCTTTGGGGGCTCCAATCTCTGGATGACATTATTGCCTCAGCCTCCTCCCAATGATTTCCTAGAAAGCCACGTTTCGGATTGCAAACACGTGGTCCTGCCTTCTGCTTATGTGAGAAAAAGTCCTCTCCTTTTCTAGATTTTCCATCTTAGTCCCTGGTAGTGGTGGTGATGGAGTGGGGGGAAAACAAAACACTTTGAGAGTAAAACCAATGTCTCCTGCAGGTTCTTATGAACCTGTCACTTTGTACGAAAGTTGCTTCAGAATAAGAAGACTAGAGACGCCTGGGTGGCTCAGTCAGTTAAGCGCCTGACTCTTGATTTTAGCTCCGGTCATGATCTCAGTGTCTTGAGATCAAGCCCTGCCTCGGGTTCTGGGTTGGGCGTGGAGCCTGCTTAAGATTCTCTCTCCCTCTCCCTCTGCCCACCCCCCATCACACGCTCCCTCTCTCTCTCTCTCAAAAAACAAAAACAAAAACAAAAATAAGTCAAGCAGAGAGTCAACTATCATATGGTTTCACTTATTTGTGGAACATAAGGAATGGCATGGAGGACATTAGAAGAAGGAAGGGAAAATGAAGGGGGGAGTCGGAGGGAGAGATGAACCATGAGAGACGACGGACTCTGAAAAACAAACTGAGGGTTCTAGAGGGGAGGGCGGTGGGGGGATGGGTTAGCCTGGTGATGGGTATTAAGGAGGGCACGTTCTGCATGGAGCACTGGGTGTTATACGCAAACAATGGATCGTAGATCACCACATGGAAAACTAATGATGTCATGTATGGTGACTAACATAACATAATAAAATTAAAAAAAAACAACAAGGGAGATGAGAATAGGTCAATTCTTTTCCTGGCTTTCCCCCTTCTTTCTGTGGTAGGATATGTTCTTTTCTTTTCTTTCTTTCTTCTTTTTAAGTGTTTCTCTCTCTCGATATTATCCTTTTTATCACACTCCCACTAAAGCACATAACCCTGGCCTCGTAGGGAGGAGAGTAGCAAAGTGAAAAGAGATAGCTTGGGTCTTCTTGAATTTTGTTCACGAATGCTATTCCCAGAGTGAGGAGAAGGGTAGAGCCTAGAAAAGAATTTGCATCAGGAATTCTGAAGAGAGAAAGTTTTTCTGCCTTCTAGACATGAGACTCTCTTTGGGGGTGGGCGTGGGAGAAGAGAAGCGGGCATCTAGGGGGTCTAGAGATAGTAACTTGCACCCTGCTTGCCTGGCAACCTCACAGGAAGGCATCAACCCCTAGATTCAGAAGAGCTACAGGATACTTCCAAGGAGATGAGACCAGAAGCAGCCACACAAATATTCCCATGTGTCTAGCATGGCATGGAAGAAGCTGAAATCGGTGAGATCTGAGCAAGGCATGTGAGTCTAGCCACTGGACATCTCAACAGTAACCTCTGTACAGGGCTGTGCCCATGAGCAGATGCCTCCCCCCTCCCCCACCTCACGAACACTCAGGCTTTCCACTCTGTGTGGTTCTAGCACCCCGGGAAAAATAGGAGTGAGCATGCTCACGCACATGGAGACTGATTTCTAAGAAACTGGTAGGGTGAGGCCTATTTATTTGATTATATAAATATAAGCTCATTTTCCTATTTTTGTTGAACTGATTATAATTCATTACTGCCGCACATATTTTAATGTTTAGATTTGGTCAGCAAGAGTCACTTCAAGTTTGTTCCTGCGTCCTTTCAATATTCTTCATCGTTCTTGGAACATTTCCTTATATCTGCCCCAGCCAAATGTTCCAGGCTCATTTGGTACTTTCCCTCTAGGAAGCCCTGCTTCTTTTCGGCGGCAAAGTTATTTAGAAACCAAAATTGGGGTACTAGGTATGCACATGGCTCCTGGAGTGTCACTGCCCTTAGGGCTTCGCCGTGGCCAAAGTTGAAGAATACATGTGTGTATGTACACGTGCAAGTGTGCGTGTGCGTGCACACACACACACACACACACATGCACACTTCCATCTAGAATTTATTCTAGTTTTTTTTCTCCTGCCATATTTATAAATCCCTTCTGTGGTGCTGAGAAACTGGGCTCCTATTATCTTCAATACATTTCTTGTTTTGTTATTCCCCTCTGTACAAGACCGAGCTCCCATTGCCACCACCTGACCCCCTTGGGCTCCAGCATCCCCCCCGCAGGCTACTACCAGTGTTATCCCCATGTGCAGATACCCTCCCCGCAACTTTCAGGTGCCAAATCCTTTTTTGGGTCACCATGCACCCCACTTACATATCAATGTTCCTTACCAGCCTGCCACTGCTGTCCACCACACAAGTTGCCCTCCTCACGCAGCTTGGACTCCAATGACCAACTGGACCAAGTGGCCCCTGCTCAATCCACTCAGTCACCAACTGCCCAGGTTTGCCCACATCTACCACCAGAGCACTCAGCAGGGACACTCTCCTCGCCATAGCAGACTCTGACAATCTGCACCAGAGTGCGTGGACGTTGTCCTCACCCACTTGGACTTCCAATAGTCTGTGTTGCGCCTATACCCAGTAACCTCCTTCATGGAGATCTACCTTGCTCAGCCCAAATGGCTTTTAGACTGAATTCTTAGAAAAGGAAGCTGAACATTTAAAAAGTTTTTTTTTTCTGGGGCACCTAGGTGGCTCAGTCAGTTAAGTGTTGGACTATTGGTTTCAGCTCAGGTCATCATCTCAGCGGGGAGTCTGCTGGAGATTCTCTCCCTCTTTCCCTCCCCCAACTCGTGTGTGTGCATGCGTGGGGGGGGGCGCACATGCATGCATGCGCATGCTCTCTCTCTCTCTCTCAAATAAATAAATCTTTAAAAAGTTTTTCTATGCTGCTTTTTCATAGTTTCTATCATTTCCCTCATTTCTTATAGTTGCACTTTGAAATACTGAGTTTCTATCCATTTTGAAGCCATATTTTCCTGACATCCTTTTGTTTTCTGTAAGTACGGTGTTCAGTGCACTTGTCTCATAACATTATTATATGGGGTTTATTTGCAGTTTTCTTGTGTCATACATGCTTAAATTAAATGTGTTTTCCCGGGAAGATCTGCATGCTGGGGCTGGCGGTGGATGGGGGGAGCCTTCCTAACTTCATCTCTTGAAGGCATTGAAAGGAAAGTAGTTAAAGTTCTTCACCTCTCTAGAGCAACCTCTACAGTGATTTCTAAGATTTGCTACCTGCCATCCCCTTTCCCACCAGGATTCAAACTTTCTCTTAAAACTTTCTTGTTGCTTCCCTGCTCAATTTCATTTCTACTGACAGTTCCTTTCTTCCTCGGAATGGAACTCTATGTTTGTGGGAGGGATTTTAGTGGCATATTTTCTATATTTCTGAGATCTTTGAGGCCACCCTAGCAGATCCTGCTTTGGTGTATGGCACCTTCTTTTTGCTGTCCTAGGTATTCTGCCTTACTGGTAAGGGGATTTGTGGAGGTCCATAAACTACGCTGCTGTCTCTAACTTGTCCCAACTGGAAGACCACAGGCCTACCTTGATGGTCCTAAGCAAAGATTTAAAATCAGCCCAGGAAGTTTAAGGCAGGTGCTTTCAACCTCCAGCCTCACAGCCTTTTCCCAGTTGTGGCTTACTGTGTTCTTCCGGAGGCTATTTCCTCCTCCTGACGGACAGTGGGCAGGTTTTCCTGCCTCATCAATCTGTGATAGAACTATAACTAGAGAGATGCACCCAAAGTGCTGAAAGAGTACAAATAATGTTTATGTTTCCAGTTTTTCTTTGTCACTGTTAGCAGCACCCTCAGAATAAATCAGGCGATCCATACGTCTGTGTTGAATACTTACAGGGCATATTTTGAAATATTCAGCAGTTGTTTCAGAGCTCTGTCCATAAAAAACATGAGATCAAATAGTAAGCCCTGGATCATATAATATATCAATATAGAGTATATCATATCTCTATATGAGGTTCTGGAGCCAGCCTCCTAGTATTTCAGTCCAACCATGACTGGTGCAAAATTTGTGAGCAGAACAAAAGTTTTGAGGTGTGGTTTTCTGAGAACTGGTCGATCATGAACACATTTCTATTGGGCTTCTATGATTTTACACACATTTCTACAAAAGAAACCCTGTTTTCCTACTATTAATAATCCTCCAGATTTCTAGTTCCATAGAATTGGTTTGTCTTCCTTTGATCAATTTTTCCAGTCTAAGTCTGCCACCAAGTAAGGAATCTGTGGCCAGACGAATGTTCTGGACTGGAATCTAGAACTAGAGTACATGTTCAGGGTCTGTCTTCCCTCATTGTTTCCTCTACTTCCTATCCCTTTCCCCCCCAAAATGTGAAGAACAGAGATGTACTCTACTTAAGCAAGAAAATTAGGAGGTGATGGGGTATTGTAAATGGGGCAATAGGGGAGTCAGAATCTCATGGAAATCCAAGATGGGAAACATAATAGGACGGGCTCCAAAAGATCAGACCTGGAGGGCCAGTCTGGGTATGAGGAAGCTCTGGGGATTTTGCCACAATGGTTTATGAAGCTTCCCTTCAAACTCAGCTATAAAATTGTGCCAGTGAGTCTCCTTCTCTCTGTATCACTCAGTGTCTATCTGCTAGTCTTCCTGCTAATGGTCACCTTCTTCACCTTCTATATTGTTTCTCTTCTCTAATTTGAAGTTTCCAATTTTGACTGGTTTGGGACCATTCTAGGCACTAACCACACATCATAGTAATGCCTCTGTGAATCACTTCATTGTTGGAATCTACAGCCAGCCTCTCCATTCTATCCATATAAATGGAATAACCAACCCTGAATGGAAGTGTCTACCATATTCTCTCCTCAAGATGCTAAAGTATAATATGCCTGCTAACATGACACAATCTGGGGCAAATCCCAGCATACATATATTGCAAATATTTCAAAATTAATTTGAATTTTAAAATGTTTTATTATATCTATGTAAATACAATGTGGTAGAAAGCAATAAGCAATTATAACCCTGGATCAGGAGGGAAATTACTTAACCTGGGATAATATTATAT